TTTAATTCCTAGAATTTTTAAAAAATATATTTAACAAACAATAATAATTCAGCAATTCAAATAGCAAGCCAGAGAGATTATGAAATCAGTCCCTCCTTTCTTATTGCTCTGGTCTGTTTGTTTGCTTGCTTATTTTAGTCATTCATCAACTATTTATGAAATACTCACTATATGCCCAGCATTATGGTGGGTGTTATATGGGATATGAAGAGAGAAAAGACACAGACTCTGCCATATGGGAGTCTTTAGTTTCCTGAGGAAGATTTAGCTAGATAGACCTAATATTTCCAGCTAACAATTTAGGCAGCCAAGTAAGTGGTAACAGAGGGTAGATGCACTTGCAGTTCTAGGAAGGGATGAGTGCAGGCCAGAGATGCTGGTATTGTCAGACAGGATTTTAGCTTGAAGAGCATTCCAGGTGAAGGAAACTTCGGAAATTGCATGCTCCTGGATATTTTTGAGCATCGTGTGTATTTGTTGCAAGGAACGCTTGATTATTCTTAGTCTACATATGAGAGAAGTAGTCCAAACAGGAGGGAGCTAGCATAGGACAAGAAGTGAAAATGGGAAGACTGCTTTACTCACAATAATAAAAACGCAGACTTAATGATTTTTGGACACTTTGCATGGTAGTTTTGTCTTCCTATAGTGCAGCTTGGCTAACGTCCCCAACCTCAGTTCTACACTGAGATTCTGTCAAAACAGCTACAAACAGACTTATACAAAGTCAGCAAAGCATGAAACATCTTTCTGGCACTGGGAGAACACACCAGGGCCTGGGAACACATGTGTCTTAAAGTGCTAAGAGTCCCTGAGATCCCCAGACCTGGTATCCCAGGTCCCACGCCAGTGTTACTGAGAAACAGGAAAGGCACACAAGAAGTCACAGACTCTGAAAGCAGCTGTGTTCCAAATACTAGTCCCATGCTCTAAGATGTCATATGGAGTGCACCTTAGCAAATGCCAAGTAGATGACTGACTAGATGGGGAAAAGAATGGCTTCCTCTGGCCTCTCGGCCAGATCCCTAAAATGAAAAAGAAATGAGAATGTTAAGCTCTTCAGAAAAAGTGTCTTAATTCATATGTATGTGTGTGTGTGTGTGTGTGTGTGTGTATACATATGTATATATGTATAAATGTATGTGTGTGTGTATATATATATGCCCAATTATTTTATACATCTATAAACATAGTACACATATGCACACACACAAATAGCAAATGTGCTGGGAAGCTGCTATTTTTGAATATGCATGTTGTGACAGCTTGTACAATAAAAATAAATTGTACTAATTTCTTAGGCTTGGATTTTTGTATTCAAGTTCTCCAAGCCATACTCACTTGTCTATAGGGTACCAGGGAAGGGGAACTCCTTTGCCTGATTCTATTAACATTAGTACAGTTTGTTTTTAGCCCTGAGAGCTTGAACACCTGGTGATTTGCATGGCTGAATTGCATCAATGTAAACAGATTTGGAAAGACCAAATTATCTCTGTCATGGGAAAATTGAGGTAGAGGCATTTGCTTCTATTCTCAGAGCCACAAAAGGAGTGAGCCCTATTACCCACCATCTCCTGAAATGACAGCCCTTTCCTGGCCATCAAAGAACCTCTTCTTCAAAGATCCTTGTGTTACACCAGAGATGAGGCTCAGAAGCCCAAGCCAAACAAAGTAAGCAGCTAACATTTGAAGCAGAACTTCCTTTTCCAAGAACTAAAGCACTGCTGCCAGAAAACTTGGCCTCTATGAGAAGCAATCTGTAGCTGTGGTGCTGTGAGTGGAGGCTGAACTTTACTCAAGTTTACTCAGCATGAACTTTGCAAAAGTGCTTGGGAAGAGTGTCTTTTTAGAGCTGGCCCATGCGTGTGTCTCTGTGTGTACACACGCACGTGCATGCATGTGTACAAATGTGCACATACACACGTGTACCATAGAGAAAAACATAACTGAAATTGATTGTTGTTCTCAGAAAACATTCCAGAAATTGATCTTTCTCTTTCTTAATATGTTGAGATACTACATTCATCCTATAAGTCAAGAAAAGGAGCTCGGAAGTAAACAGTACTGCCATTTTCCTTCTTTGCCTATCCAACTCCTCCCCACCCCCAAACTCTTAGACTCTTCTAGTAAAGAAAGTCTCTGAAGCCTGGGGATGGGGGGAGAGGAAGGTCAGTGACCCCACTGTTCCCTTTCTCCCCAGCACAGGGTCAGGGCTTGGACAGAGCCCTCCATAGCTCCCCCGGACAAAGAAGCCTTGTTCTTTCCTGAGATCTCAGGAGCGTGATTGGTATTCTACAGGGGCCTGCAGGCCTGGGGGTGGGGAGGGGGTCAGACCCAGGGAACAATGGCAGGACTGTTTGTTTAGCCCAGGGTAAGAAGAGCCATCCACCCTAGCAAGTGACCATCTTGGGGCTACTCACTCACCCCAGTATTTTCATCTGGGAAGGGCTAAGTGGTTGTGCAGGTATGGTCTGGGATGGAGGAACTCGAACTCTTGCTAGCCAAAAGAGAACTCCCTTTAAGCTTTAGCTGATGCCCCCTCTAGGGTTGCAGAGATGAGAGGGAAACAACCTTTTGAGTGTATCTGATCCCTTAATCATCATCCAAATAACCTGAGAGTGTCACGGACTGTGTTCTTACTGGAAGATAAAGGGCTAAACCTTAGGAGCAATTCTGAGTCACCAGATCATAGCCTTTCTTTTTGCATCCATTTTTCCTCTATTTTCTTAGCATTTGAATAACTTAGCATCCCCTTTTCTGCTCCACTACTGCTCAAAGCAAGGGACAAAAAGGAAGTAGGCTTTAATGAGTTTCTAATGTAGAGTCTGAAATAAATGACTTCAGATAAATCTATCACTATTGAGCTATAAACAATTCAGCAATATTAGCATAAGCATCAGATGTCCATCTCTTCACAGCCTAGATGAAATGTTTGCTTTGGGGGCATTTAAATTCAGCAGAAGTAAAGGGTCTCAGTCAGTCTGTCCAAGCAAGAATCAGATTTTAGATTCTAACTGAGAAAAACTCAGAGCCTACAAGAAATTATTTTTTCATCAAAGTAGTTGGCAATCAAAGCATTCTGAGAAAGGTCCATTGGGCTCCCTTTGATTTTTCAGTCTAAGAAAAGTCCTTGGGTATGTGTGAACAGTAGCCTAAAGCCACAGGCTCCTGGTTGAAAGGGTGTGAGTTTGATCAAGAAGGCTGGAAGGGATTCTAGAGAAGTTCCTTGGCTCTCTCAAGAGACATTCTCACATTTCCAGTCTAAGTACAGACTGTGAGATGGGAGAGTTGGCATAAAAGAACCATATAGTAATAACATTTCCCAATGCAGCTCAATCAGATTAAACCACCCGACTTTGATGAAAGGTCATAGAGAAAAATAACAACCCCCTCCAGTGTTTTCCTTTCATTTCTGTTTATGTGAATTCAGTATAAGCATTAAGCACTCTAGCAGTGACATAGACACTAGGAGAAACAGAAGGGAATTGAAAGACCAGTCCCTTTCTTTAGAAAACTTGCAATCCTGATGGGGAGAACAAACGTATGTCTGTGAATCAAAATCCAAAGCTACCTATAAGCAAATGTTAACATGGATATAATGAAGTTGTGTGGGCAAAAGGTAAGCAAAGGGAAAATATCAGATCATGGTTGGCTACATTTGTATACAAACTTCCAAAACAAGCCTAATCAATCTGTGACAGAACTTTAAGCCCTTCTCACCAGTGCTCTTCACAGGGGCCTGACAGAGATCAACAGGACTGATGAGACTCACACAGATCCAGGTTCATCAAGGGACTGTGTTGATTCTGATGCTGTCCCTTTAAACAGACGCCAAGAGTTCCCAACTCTCCCTCCCTCCTTTCCCATGCCCTGGGCCTGCCTCAAGTACCAGCTCCATGATGGAAATTCAGTGTGAATCTGGGAACTCATCAAAGAAGGAGAGGAAGGGCTTTCATCGAAAGGAATGGTAGAAAGAGACCAATTGTACGCTGCACAATTCCCAGCCTGTCCCTTGAATCCAGCTGACAAAGGGAGAGATAGAAGAACCCTATACAATAGCGCTAAACAACAGGCAGGCTCATTGAGTGAGAAAGTGGCCCCATCTCCCTAGGTCTCGAATCTGCACTACAGTCTTACCCTCCTCCCAGAACCCACCCCTTAACCTCACCCCATGAACAGAGGCTTCCTTGATCAGGGCCTACAGCAGTTGATAAGGCCGAAATGCTAGAACAGCCGTGACTGGTACTAGGGATGGATGGGGATCAGAGGGTGGGTTCTAGGAGTAAAACAATAATCATCAAGAGGTGCCAGAGACAAACAAAGACTTTTGCTTCTGGCTTCATCCTGGTTAGACAATGCCCTGCCTATAATCTTGTCTTTCCTACATGTCCCTTGTGATATCAGCACTTATATACCACTTTCAAGTGCTGGAAAAGAGTCCCAAAGCCTCTGGGGCCTGGGAATCCAAGCCTGCTGGACAGTCAAGTCATGTGGACAAGGTTAAGTAAAAAGGAATCTCAGCCTCCTCTTTGGTCCCCTTTTAGTATTACCACAGCAACAGCATCTGGACCATCTTGTTTCCTATACTCCCTACTCCCCTTCAAACACGCGCGCGCACACACACACACACATACACACACACACAGAATGAATAATGTACACATTCCAATTTATGTACAAGCATTGGGAAGCTGAGGTAAAACTTTGATTCTTAAAACTTATCCTTGGCACATTGTATCCACCTTGCCCACAAACGGGAAGACAAAAGAGAAGTAACTGGTACTGGAGATAATAGTAGCCATACCTTGTTCCTCAGGTCATTCTCCCACCATTTCCCCCTCTCTCCTTGGTTACAGTGTGAAACTAATCTGGGGAACCTTATTCTCTTCCTTGGAACTCTTTTCTAGAGCCCTGCTTGGCAGACAGCTCAGAGGCCAGTGCAGAGCTGAGAGACAGCCCTCAGGGCCATTTTGCAGTAACCAAGAGGGAATAATCAATCAGTACTTGCTGCGCTTTTGAAATAGGTCTGGCACTGAGTATGCTCTGAAAGCAGAAAACGAAGGGAAACCTGTTCCATTCACCTACCATGACTGCTGTGACCCTTCCTGATCATGTCACTGTCCTCATTTGATCTTCTCTAGACCTGAAGTGCTGTGGGCAGGGAAGGCATTTCTACTGCTGCTTTCTTTCAAGACAAAGAGCTGTACCCAGGGGATGGCTTTCAAGGCTTCAGGATGATAGACAAAAGCAGTGGGGAAAAGTGATGTTACTGGCTGGAGTTCTACTTTAATGAGTTTGGAGACTATATTTCCCCTCCCACCCACCTCCCAGGGTTGAGGGTGTTATTACTCAGATCACTCTGAGAGAGCAGTTCTAGTTGTCAGGCTGTTAAGTAAACTTCTGGCTTTCCTAGCTCAGAGCCAAGGCAAAGACCCCCTAAAGCAGGGTATACCTTTCAATCTCCCTGGCTCTCCAAGATCTCCTCTGGCTCTGCACAGCCAGAGAGAGAAGTGAGGTGGGGAAGGCCGCACTCGATTATTTTAGTCAGCGTCTCCAGGAAGATTAGTGAACATGAACATGAACATGGTGGTTTGGATCTGGTTTATTTTTGGTTCCTGGCATTCTTGGTGCATTTGTGCCATTTTGATGGGATTCAGTTAGTCTTTGGGCATTTTATAAAACTTGACCCCCGCTCTGCTGCCACACTTTTTCCCTGGGCTTCATCCACTTACTCCAAGCCAGCCAAAACTATACTGCTTGGCAAACAGCCACTTTTGGATGAAGGCATCACAGTCTGGTTACCAGGGTAACAGCCACTGTTCTCAGACGACAACAGACTTACAGACAATGTTTTGCTGTTCAATAATGGCATTGTGTTACTGAGCAGAGAATAATCACCTACTGCTCTTTGGCTCCTTTCCGGTTCCATCGTTATCCCAAAGACTCACTTGGAACATTCCCCTTTCAATCAAGGCAAAATTTAATAAGCAATCATTTTCCCCATAAACCTTTTGCACAGACACTACTGAATTAGTGTTCCTCTTTGCTTCCAATCCTAAGGGATTCTATATGGTTGAGGTAGTAAGTTCCCTGTTTCTGGAGGCGATTAAACAGACACTGTACAAACGTTTAATTAGTTGTTGTAAAAATGAATCCCATACTGAAGGTTGGTTCAGACAACTTCTAAAGTTCCTTCCAATCCCAGATTCCATGATACAATGTGTTTACTGCAATTGTTGAACAGCAGTGCACTCCACTTCAAAAGTAGTGGCAGTCCCGTACCTTGTTAGAGATGGTCTATAATTCAAAGTATTTTAGACATTCTGTTATTGAATAAATGAAAACTCAGTGGCTGCTCTATCATATGTACCTGGCCCAAGTATCATCCACCCTTAGGAGCTGGGAACCAATGTGCATCCTCAATGGTGCCCTTATCTGTGGCAATCTTCCTCTGGAGAAAATCACCCGGCCTCCATAACAGGCAACTGTCCCTTTGGTCACCTTATTTGTTCCTACCTTTCCTCAGGGATTTCATCCTCTGAGGAAGTAATATTCAACATCCTTCTTTACTCCCTCTCTGTTTTTAATGCACAACCTAGCTAATCAGCTGGGCTGACATTAGATAGTGTTCTTGATGTTACCCAGGGCAGGAATTGAGTTCCTCCAACATTCACTTCTCACCTGGCCACACTTAATTGGTCAAATGATTCTGATCCAAGCACACAAAGAAAACCCAACCATCCCAGAAAGAGGAAGAGTCAGCCTGTATACACATTATTGTCTAATAGTAGTTATTATCATGATTTACAGTTGTTATAGATCTTGCCCATTTTCGAAGGACTTCCACATTATTGTTACTTGATTCTTACAACCCTGAAAATAGACAAAGTAGTTATTGCTATCTCCATTTTCCAGATGAGAAAATGGTGATTCAGTGACCTGCCCAAGGTCATGCAGTTCATAAGTAGCAGATCTGGGATTTGAATCTGATTTTTCTGACTCCCTGTCCAGTGCTCTGCCCTCCTATTTTACCTCACACATGCTTCAAAGTGTTCTCTCAGTATTTCATGATGAAACACCTAAAGGCTGAACCATATCAATATAATTGCAAATTGATCTCTGTATGCTATCTACTGGGTGCTACATTTGATAGGGAATACATGGGACAACTGAGTCTCATTTAATTTAGGATGTGTTTAAGCTGCTATCTGTTTTGCCAAATGTGAGCAATGTCTACATGACTCTGTGGAGTCCCATAGGGACAAAGACCCTTGTGCTCTGCACACCTTACTCTGAGTAGAAACTAACACCGAAACCTCATAGCTTCTGTCTTTGTTCATGGAACCTAGAAAAGCCCTCAATACTCAACCAACTTAGCAAGAGCCCTAATGTCCCAGCAGCCTCCTTGTCACAGCAGAGAGCCCTCAGGAAAGCTGTGTCTGTGATATTTGTTAGAAATGGTCACCCCATATGAGCACACACACATATGCACATATACACACACTCCTACCCATATTTGTTTCCCATGGTCAAGCCATTGAGGACTTTATTTCATTTCCTGAACCTGGCAATGGCCTCCTCAGCCATGGCCAAGCCTGAGTCCAGCTTGTCCGACCCCCAGCTTCTTACTGATGTCAAACGTAGTTCAAAGATTGCATCAAGCAAGCAGTTATTTTGTACATCTGAGGTCTAGACAGTGCTCAGTGGCCTCCAGCAGAACCAGGAGAGCAAGCTAACCCAACCATTACCAGGGACTTGGAACCAAGGGAAAACAGAAGATAGAGGGAAGTGAGGGGGTAGGAGGACACACGACCACATCCATCCGGCTGGGCACTCTCTCCAGAGATCTATGTGACTCTCCACATGCTGCTGGAATTCTTTGGTAATAAAACATCATGCTCACTACAGCAGATAAGGAGTTAATCTAACTGAATGTTAAGGAATTTAAAAAGAAAACAAGTGCCAAAACACGACTCATTTAAACCATTGGAACCCCCGAACCCCAAAGTTGGAAATTCTCTTGCGAATTCCTGTGTCTGCTTGAATCTTCAATGCTAAAGTTTTTGAAACTTACCCATGTCTTTGGGACTCTGACTCCAAATGTAGCCGGCTGACTAGTCTGCTTTGTGGCTGACTTTGTTCAGCTGGAAGGATCCTGGTCTCTCCAGTCTCCTTCTTCGGTCTTTTACTTTTTCTCTCTGAGTATCTTTGTCCTCTTCTCCTGCAATGAAAAGGGCTTTCTGATTGACAGCCAACCCCCTTAAAGGGACAGGCTTGCTTTCCTCCTCCTCTCCTCCTCCCCTTCTCCTCCCCTTGTCCCCACCTCCTCAGGGATACTCCCTTTTCTAAGGGCTCCATCTTCTCTTTTTGCCTTTCACTGCCAATTGTTTCATTTTCTTTGTTTTTCCTTTTTTCCCTAAGGCTTGCCTGGAATTTCACTTTGCTGCAGAGACATCTGGAAATGTGGATTGAGGGTGGAAATAAAATGAAGAGGTCCTGGAAACTTCCAACTGATCCTTGGGTCTAATAATGTGGGATGTGCAGCACAAGCGTGAGAAGCCATCAAGTGGGAGCCCCAACAGGGGCTCAGAGTCAAAAACCTAGATGTTAGCTCCCAAAGTCCTTCCAAATCTGCCCCAGCTCCCCACCTCACTCCTAGCTGTCCTTGGACCTCTCCACCTTTCCTTTCCCCCGACTTCTTGGAAAATAAGCATTCCTCCCCCTCACCCAGCTCTACGAACACAATAGAGAAGAAAAAATTGTCTTTTAAGATAATTTCCTCCAAATCCTTTTCAGTTTCAACTGCATGAAGACAAAATGCAGGCTGTCGATTCGATGAACAGATTGTGATTAGGCTGGGGAAGACTAGCATTGTAATAATTTTACAGCTACAATAATGGAGACCCAGTGGACAAGAAGACCTTTGCAAGTTCGCAGACTATGCTAAAGAAAAGGCCAGCGTTGAAGATGTGGGTGATTTCCAAGGAGGATAATCAACTTTGAGACAAGTCAAGAACACGATTAGGGAATCAGGTAGTCAACATTCCATCCTGAGAATGTAATGTCTTCATCAGAGAGCTGAAGCCAGGCAGGCGAGAGGCAGGGAGTGGGTTGAAGTGAAGCAGCAGGTGGCAGTGAGGGTGGAGAGGAGAAACAAAATATAGTCTTTGCCACAGAGAAAGAAGCAGTAAGACAAAAATGGCTAAGCAGCAAAAACAGGGAAATACTATATAAAACCTGCCTTAGCAATAAGTTATTTCTAAAGATTGTGAAGGTATTTGAATGCCCAATGCTAGATGGGACCAGCCTGGGAAGGTTTTCTAGAACAGGTGAATCTTAAGCAGTGTCTGTCTGGGCTCCTTGTCAGTGTCGTGTCTCCCTTCACAGCTCCCTTGACCTAGAGGCCAGTGTCCTCCCATGGATGGCCTTTAAAACTAGTGGCTGGCATATAATAAGAGGAGCACCTGTTAGAAGACTCTGGAGAAGGAAGGTATGGTCTCCTGGAACTTTTTCTGTGGTTTTGCCTTGGGAGAGGAGAGAAGAGGAGGGAGATATTGAGCAGAGACTAGTATCTTCCTGTTGGGGGAGAGAGGTAAAATTGTGTCTTACAGTTTTCTCTTTGGGCTGTGACCTTGGACATGCTACCGCCTTGGGCTCTGCTGTTAGGAAGTAGGTGAGTCTTCTGCAGATGCCCCGTGGGCCCACTGGGGACCAAATCCTGCACCGTTTGAGGCTTGCTTAGCGTCCTAGAACTCTAGATCCTTTGCTCTTATATCAGCCCCAAGAAGGACCCCTGGAAATGCTGCCCCTTGCAGAACGGTATAATAGTAGCTTCCCAGAGCAGATCAGACTAAGGCCATATGACTGATGGAAAAGGATCTTAGGGCCCCTTGCCCTCCCCAGCCCTGCTTGCCGGCCATAGACTATGCCTGCTTTGGAAGCTCAACTGTAGGATTGTGCCAGCAATAAGCTTCTGGATGGTCACTGCTGGAATGGCCCTGGAGAAGGGGGAGGACCAAGAGCAAGAAGTCACCAAATGTGTCCCCTCAGCTCATCAGATGGCAGGAGTGAGCCCAAACTTTGGGAGTTCAGACTTAGAGGATGAGAGAAAAGATCCTTCACAGCTAGAATAGACGAGACAGCTCTGCACACAGAGGACATAATTCTGACTGAGCCCTCTCACAAAGCTTCCCCTAGATTCTCAGCAGCAGCTCTGGGGTTGGCAAGGCTACTGGGAAGAAAATATGTGTGCCCAATAAACTCACAGATGCCAATTTACCAACCACATCCCCCTAACGCACATGTCTCTTCTCCTTTCCTCCATCTCCACTGCCCTAATATTCATTCTATCTTCTCTCCAAGTCTCAATCTCTGTCTCTGTCACCTGTCTCTTTCTCCATTTCTGTGTGTCTGTCTCTCTCTGTTCCCTCCTTTTTCTCTCTCCACGTTCCCTGTCTTCTCCTTTTTCTTATGCTTGTTCTTATGCCCAGGGAAAGAAAAGGGACCCAGCCAGGTGACCGTGTCTCACTCATCCCAGTGCCTTAAGGTTCCCAACTCCCTAGGATCTAGTGTGTTCTCATTGCTCTGTACACCCCGACACTGCCTCAGCACCTCATCAGCCGACCTTTCCTGAGGGCTCCCTGCAGACCTCATAGGGTATTTTCCCAGGTCTTCCAGAGGCCATTTTTTATCTACACACCCCAACCTGTTTCTGTGATTCTGCTTCCATTGGTTCTGCTGGGTGCCCTTGGCAAAATAGTCCCCAGAGTCCAGCTGGACTCCTGGCAGTGCCAAGGGATTCCTCAAGAGGGCACTGCCAGCCTTCTTGGTGGCAGCCTGCTGTCTGTACTGGGTGCCTGTGGGAACAAAGCAGGATTGTGTGAAACTCGTAAACAATTTGCTTCATGCAATTCTGATGATACCTCAGAGAATCTGGGCCCCCTTGATCATAGCTTGGTTTGGTTGTGCAGCTTTCTTGCAAAGAACTCAAAAACAGTTGGCTATTACCTCCACTCTCTGCTCTATGATCCCATAGTATCTGATTATTGAAGGCCACAGAGCAAGTGGGTTCTCTTTGCTCCACTGTGTAGACCGAACTCTGAAACTCAGGGAAGTCCGGTGAATTTCTCCCAGGAAAAACTAAATAAGGGCTCAAGTGCCCAATCTAGTGGCTCACTTCTACCTGAACACAGAGAAGATCATAAAGGGGAAGAGGGAAGGTACAGTACCAGTAAAAGCCTGGAATCACCTGCTACCATTTGGGCTTCTAGAGCTGAGGCTTTGCTTCTCATTCCCAAGATAATGTCTTCCCAGACCAAATTTTAAAAGACAACTGGTTGTTTCTTACAGCTTTCCTAGCCCTGGCATAGAAGGCTGGCTGGCTGGCTGGCTGGCAGGCAGTATATTATGTCCTATGTACTTGTGGTTAGAACTTTCCACACCCAACTTTATGCCGATTGGCTAGACCATGTCTTTCTGGCCAAGAGAACCGAGGGCTGAGGGCCAGAGATGTCATATACTTTGAAACGGCAGACAGAGGGTAGAGAGTGGAGAGTGATCTTCTGCCTTTCCTGAAGGTTCGAGGAACCGTGCAAGGATGGATAGGCGCAGGCCATGAGGTGTATTTGTGAGGGGGAGATGCCTGTGGCTTGGGATGGAGTAGAGTAGCCTGGAAGCCAAAATATACATGAAAAATCTCAGGTAAAGAATGCCTGAGGACTATCACATAGCTACTAGTAATGTGAAGAAAAAAGCTGTCCACAGAACCCACCTCCACCACCATAAAAACTTGGCCAGCTTTTGCAGGGTTGTCCCTGCAGAGAGGATGCGTGTTTGATGTGATTTCTGGGCAAAGTAGAAATAAAACTAGTATTATTTCTGGGGAACCAATGTTATTTGTTCAATCCGACTGATGGGATACTGAGACAACTTTCCCAGTGGCATCTAGCAGGTAAAGACCAGAGCCATCTCTAGAGAATGCCTCTCTCCAGACCCTTCATTGCTTGGAAGTTGCTTGGGAGGTTGTTCTGCTGTGAAAGAATGTGTGAATAGAGAGCTTCTGCCCTGAGCAAGAATAGCCAGGAGCCAGGGGGAGAATGGATAGGCTTTGGGCTGATATAGCCCAAGTTTTCAACCTTCTACACTTCTGAGGTGAAGTAGGAGGCCCACGTTTGAAATCCAGCGCAGAGGCAGACTTCCTGCAGTTTGTAGGATCAGTGGGATTCCAAATCAGTCAGCAAAAGTCAGTGGAGATTAGATGATATTAAGGACTTTTTGATCTGTTAGGTGTGATAATAACATGGTGATTATGTTTTTAAAAGGGTCATTATCCACTAGATATGAACAGAGAAATATTTATAGGTAAAATGTTATGACACCTGAGGTTTTTGCACTCCAGAAAATTTTAGTGTAACAAGATTAGATGAAATAACATTGGTCAAATATTGCTAATTATTGAAGCTGAGAGATGGGTACATGGAGGTTTATTATACTATTTTTCCTACTTTGTACTTTGTGCATAATTGAACAGAAAAGAGGAAGCATCAGAATTACGCTTCACGCTGATCCAGAAGGGGGAAAAAAAGGCTGGGCACAGTGGCTCACACCTATAATCCAAACACTTTGGGAGGCCAAGGCTGCTGGATTGCTTGAATCCAGGAGTTTGAGACCAGCCTGGGAAGTATAGTCAGACCCTGTCTCTAGAAAAAAATTAAAAATTAGAGCTGAGCGTGGTGGCATATGTCTGTGGCCCCAGCTACTTGGGAGGCTGAGGTGGAAGGATGGCTTGAGCTCAGGAGGTTGAGGCTGCAGTGAGCCATGATCATGCCACTGCCTTTCAGTCTGGACCACAGAGGGAGATTCTGTCTCAAAAAAAAAAAAGAAAGAAAGAAAGAAAAATATATATATTTCCAAGAGAAATCTCTGATATTTCTATAAGGATGCATATAGCCTGGTAAGAGTGACTGCCTCTGGAGAAGGGAATTAGGGGTGTGGAGTGGGAGGGAGACTTTTCACTCTATGCCCTTTGGTATGGTTGGAATTTGTAATTTTATGCATTTCTGACTTATTCTATTGAAAACTCATTTGAAAAGTCCTTCAGGCTGGGTTGAGTGACAATAGTCCGCAGGCCCTCAGAGTCTACTATCGTAATCCACTGACCTCAAGTGGATTATGAGAGTGACGCTGTCACCATGGCAGGTTAGCCAGCCTCCACTGTCCTCACACAAACATCCACTCTGCCTACCCCCTTCTGCCTGTGTCTCTGAAACACTGATCT